TGTTTAAAGTGCTGGAGACACATTGTAACATGTTGGCTAGCTTTTAAATCAAGATGGCTCAATAATATAGCCAAATGTTTTATTTTGGCTTATGTTACTGTAAGGTTCTGACTGTTTTATGCATTAACCTTGGTTAAGCATTTACTTTTTCAAACAAAATACAAGTACATTCATTTAAATCCATTTAATATGATTTGTCAAAAATGCAATTAAGCCTGACCCCAAATCTGCTGTGTGATTTTAACAATACAAGATGACGTAGTTTGACTAATTGTGGTATCCTTTATTTGTATTATTAAGTAAAGGTGTTGGTTAACCATCAACAACTGTATCAGTATGAAAAGCTTATCAAGTATGCTGCTGTTTCTGTCATTGTAAAATATGCATTAAGGGTTTAATGTATGAGAACATTTTCAGGCCAACAGATTTCTAATGGTGACCAGCTTTGTCAGTCCTTTTGTGTTTCTTAGGTTGGACTATGAGTCCTAAAAAAAGGTACACATCCCACTGTTAGAGCTGTGGGATATGTATGAGCTGCTTAGGTAACCATGCTGTTGCCTCAGCTTGCTCGGTGGGTAGTGGAGGAGACTTTCATGCAGTCTTGGGTCTAATCCAGAGTTATCCAGAGAAAATGATTCAGCATCTGACTCTTCATATCAGGCCTGAGTGTTTAGTTTATGCAACAGGATATGGTAAATCCAATGTTTGTTTCCTATTCCAAAAATAACATTGTGCACAGGATGCGAAGATTTGCCTTGCAGAATAGTTTTATAACATGGATGTTGCATACCAATCCAACATGCCTGAATTATTGATCATTAAATAGGACCTGGAGTGTTCAGAAACACCATTTGTGCCAGTACAAACAATTTCAATGTATGTTAGGCTAACAATAGCTTCTACCAGCAAGATTGCCTTATTAAATCTGCATTCTAATTAAATTATTCTCATTGAATAGATTCAGGTTATGGTGAACTGAAGCCAATGCTGATCTGTAGGTGAACGTTTCTTTATGTTGGGGATGTAGAACAGTGGAGCAGAGAGTAATGGGTCCCTTTGTTATCTTCTCAGTTGTACAGGAAATCCATAACTGCTCACTGAGCCAGAAAGAATATGGGATTCAGTCCATTAGGGAATTCAGAGTCCTATGGGATCTGTGAGCAGTTGGACACACTTTGTCATACTAACTCTCTTCTCTTGCTGTTGCATTGTCTCTTCTTTTGTTTTCTTCTCTCTGACTCACCTTCTGTCTCATGTACTCATTCTATCACCCCAAAACCAAGAATATTTAGAAATGGTATAAGGGCATAAATGTCATATCCCTTGTAAGGGTTAACCTAATGTGAAAAGCATTGTTATTATCTCTTTACTAAGAAATAGCTAAAAAACATCCTATATTTTTTAAGTTCTTTTTCACAATATTCTGGGTTTTCTTTTCTGAATGTAACTAAAAAGAAACTAGGGAATGAAAAAACCACAGTCAACAACCTTAAGAAAGACGTTAGAAATGTTTCCCCAAACATTGTATAAAACAAAATACAGTTTCACAGGTTTCAAAGAAGTGATGAATAACAACACTGCTTCAGTGTGTTTTAAATTCATTGTTAACACAATGGTGGTCACACATCAAGTGGGAATTGGATAAAATGATTTAGGAATATCAGTGATTTTATCTCTACTTACCGGTGCTGTAATTTCTGGTTTAAGAAATTAACTTTTCAGCTCTCGCTTTTTGTCTGGAATATTCAAGGTGGAAACTTTGCAGGAGAATTAAATAACAAGTATGGAACTTAAGTGAACATAATTGGAATAAAAGAGAAATAAAGTATGGTTACAATTAAATTAAATAGGCTAATGAACAAGTATCGCGTTTTATTTCCGCCTAGGAAGTTCACTAGCTTAAAGGTACACTTTTATATTTACATTGAGATCAGAGCTTATCTTTCCTTGCAAAGTTCCTGACCCTTTGCCAGGAAGTTCCATAAATCATTGAAAACAATCAGTCCTAACATTGCTAGAATCTCTATTGAGGCTGTGCTGCTGACATTACTTGGTATTTCTTTTATGATCCTGTGCTATGGACTTACTAATACAAAGCATCTTGATCATGTTTCGCTTTAAAGATGTAGTTTATTGTTGGATATCAAGAAACAGAGATGAACAGAGATTTGTGATATTTATGTCGGGAAGAATTTGTAGGCCTAACCTTTAAACCAAATATCTGATCAAACTAAAAATAGACACACGAATGATTGGGATCGCATCTTTTAAGGAACCATTTAATGAATAATAAAACACACAACAAAAGAAGAACACCCTGGACTGTCTGGCTTCCTCCAGAGACTGAAAGGAACTATTGCATAAGAAACATGTCCTAAGGAAATAATAACACATGCTAACAGCGATGGGTGTGGACAGCATTGTTTTCTAGTTTGGGTTAAGGAAGCAAAGGGAAATCCTGAGGCAGATGCCTGGCATGGTGGCCCTTGTAATAAATACAGCAGGAAAGAGACTATCAGTGAGCTAACATATGTTCACATTCTTCCACAGATCATAAGGATTGTCTGCAGTCACGCATTAACGTATTAAGCTTCCCTTTTTCATAATGAACTCTCTTAAAGCATCAGACTGTGTAAAAGAATGTTATGAATATGTTTACATCTGACTGAAGATTCTACCAATCAGAGTAAATTTGCCGGTCTGTGTGTTTTGCAATTCTACAACACACAGATGGGATTTATTATGATTAATTATTTTAGAAAAGTCATTACATAATATTGTATGGTGTTCTGTAATATAAGTGTTGCCCATTGACAGGCTTCCCTGAATCTGTTCTATAAGATGTGTGTATTATTTTACTTTATTCTATTTGAAATATTATTTATGTTGGGGAGGGCTTTGTATTATTTTATGCCACCTACTATGATGTCTTATTGTGTAAACAAATAAACCATCTGAGGTTGGTCTGCGAAGTCAGCAGCAGAATGCACTTTGGGTCTGTACAAATTATATTATCCTACATCTTGTCCAATTGCAAACACGTTATACATGATCTAGCTCAGCTAATCCCTGTGTGTGCGTGTGTGTGTCTAACAGCAACTGCTGAGCCATGGTAGTTTGGGACAATAGGGTAAACAGTAAGCAGACACGCAAGAGACATAAACTATCTAATAATAACAATTTCAATTTTCATAGCGCCTTTCAAGAAACCCAAGGATGCTTTACAAGGGAGATAAATTAACAAAAAAACAAAATAATAATAATCACACAGATACACAGGTTGAAAAAACAGGTTGCTGGGTACTATTGTGATTAAACTGCTTTAAAAGGTTAAAAACGCTGGTCCTGTGAAAAATGACAGCTGCACTGTCACATCAGTAGGAGTTGTCACATTTCTTATTAACATTTATAGCTAAAAGGGGAAAGAACATGGAGGAAGATGGTGAAATGTTAGATGGATGTGTGATAGCTTCAATGTGCATTTATAGACATGAAGATAAAGACACATCAATCTCAGAGTACTGGTTCTTTCAGTATGTGATGTACACACATCTCACTTTGATTACAGTACATAAGAGGTTGGCATGGTTTTGTGGTTTCATCAACACCCACAGGAAATCAGAATCAGAAACGGGTTTATTGCCAGGTAGGTTCTCACATACAGTACGAGGAATTTGACTTGATGTCATGGTGCATACATAAAATATAAAACAAAGATTCTCCATATAAAACAAGAAATCTAATATAAAACAACAAATCTTTAAGGACATTGTAATAAAATATTACAGTGAAATGTAAGATAAAGGGGTTTATACTTGAGTGTAGAACAAGGAATCCTTCACTTGACAACCTTATATATTTGACAAACTGATGCACTGCTTTGTAAGTAGTACCATAAAACTCAAACATGATGAGTAGCATGGTTTTGAGTTCCACTCGTGCTAATATTCATTTGTGAACTGAAATTATCAAAATATTAAATGATGTCCGGAACAGGTTGCAGCCAAATAGCAGGGTTCATGAAAACAAATCTGAAATGTGGATGCTGTAGAAAAGATGACTGGATTTGTGAGGGCAAAACTCCCCTGAGGGAGGTTTTCTGTTGTATCTCCATAATGTACTTTGATAGGTACCTTAAGGCTGCATCTACACGGAGGACGAACCGAATTCGATATAAAAAAAGTCTTCAGTCCACACGGTATCGGCTCAATAAACATGTCCGTCCACACGAGACCGCTGGAGACGCTGTAGTACATATGCCGGGCCTGTAAGTGGCGCTGTACTTCCGCCACCAAATACACCAAAAGCAGGGGTTATGGCGTATAGGGCGTACACACGGAGCCGTTTGGCCCCCCAGAGTGTTATGTCCGCAGACCTACCCACCTAGGGACCTGTTATCGTTTGAGGGTTCCGTTACGGCCTCGTGTGGACGAACTGTCCATCCATACGATAGAGAACTGTAACAGATACAATCTGTTTCGTGTCCGTGTGGACGGGGCCTAAGTCACCTTACATATTTGTTGCTGTGATTCTGCTCAGGAACTGTTTAGAGGAAACAAAGAGGGACCTGGAAGGAGGAATACTGTTTCTGGCTAATAAAATAAGCAGCATCGTAATGTACAGTAGTTCAGTAGATGAGTACATACTAGTTGTAAAGCACATTCCACCTTTGGTATGCGTTTGACCATAACAAAAAATATTCATGTTAATTGTAAATGTTCATCACATTTTTACTCTTTATAGACTTGACAAAGCACTTTTGGGAAAAAAGTCTTCTTCATTCTGTTAAGTTTTAAGCAAGCAAAATATATAAGCCTCCATTCAGTTGAACAGATATGCATTATATTTATTTACTTTGGAATATAAAATACTAGGTTTCTAGGTTTTTACTCAATGTTTTTCTTGTTAGTAGTGCTTGTCTTTTAAATTGATATTCTGTTTTATCACCCAGTATCTACAGAGGGCTTTTTATTTATGCACTTTGTTCTGTTTCTCTGCAGGATGGCTCAAGGCAGCGTAAAGAAAGAAAGAAGACTGTATCGTTCAGCAGCATGCCCACAGAGAAGAAAATTAGCAGTGCTAGCGACTGCATCAATGCAATGGTGGATGGCTCTGAGCTAAAGAAAGTGCGACCCAACTCCCGCATTTACCACCGCTACTTTCTCCTTGATGCCGACATGCAGTCTTTGAGATGGGAGCCCTCGAAGAAAGAATCAGAAAAGGCCAAAATTGATGTAAAATCCATCAAGGAAGTGCGAACAGGAAAAAATACAGACACTTTTAGAACTAATGGAACCTATGATCAGATTTCAGAGGACTGTGCCTTCTCAATAATTTTTGGGGAGAACTATGAGTCACTGGACTTGGTGGCAAACACTGCAGATGTAGCCAACATTTGGGTTACAGGGCTAAGGTACCTGATCTCCTATGGGAAACACACCTTAAATATGATAGAGAGCGTTCAGAACTACATGCGCTCATCTTGGCTAGGTGAACTTTTTGATGAGGCAGGCAGTAACAACAGCAAACACATAAATATATGTGCTGCTGTGCAGTTAGTCAAAAAGTTAAACCCAGGCCTTAAACATTTGAAAATAGAACTGAAGTTCAAGGAGCTTCAGAAAGCTAAGGACAAAGCAGGTTCTGATGTGACAAAAGACGAGTTCATTGAGGTCTTTCATGATCTTTGCACCAGACCAGAAATTTATTTTCTCTTTGTTCAGTTCTCTAGTAACAAAGAATTTCTGGATACCAAGGACCTAATGATATTTCTGGAGGCTGAGCAGGGTATGGCACAAGTCAGTGAAGACACAAGCTTAGAGGTCATTCAGAAATATGAACCATCCAAAGAGGGCCAGCTCAAGGGTTGGCTTTCTCTTGATGGGTTCACCAACTATCTTATGTCTTCAGAGTGCCATCTATTTGACCCCGAACAAAAAACAGTATGCCAAGACATGAAACAGCCTTTGTCCCACTATTACATTAATGCATCCCACAACACATATCTGATAGAAGACCAGTTCAGAGGTCCTTCTGATGTGACAGGGTATATCCGTGCCCTCAAGATGGGCTGCCGCAGTGTAGAGCTGGATGTGTGGGATGGGCCTGATAATGAACCTGTTATTTACACTGGTCACACAATGACGTCACAGATAGTTTTTCGCAGTGTCGTTGACGTCATCAACAAGTATGCCTTTGTTGCGTCTGAGTTTCCACTGCTACTGTGTTTAGAAAACCATTGCTCCTTAAAGCAGCAGAGAGTCATGTTTCAGCACCTAAAGAAGATTATTGGTGACAAGATCCACATAGACCCTCCAAAACCTGAGGACTGTTACCTTCCCTCTCCATCGGAACTGAAGGGAAAGATCCTGCTGAAGGGTAAAAAACTGAGCACAAACTGCACTGCTTCAGAAGGTGAGGTCGCAGACGAGGACGAGGGGGCAGAGATGTCTCAAAGAATAAGCATAGAGGCTGCAGAACAACAGACTATTGCACCCAAAAACTTCCAGCTGTCAAAAGACCTCTCTGATCTGGTGACCTTGTGTAAGTCTGTGGAGTTCAAGGACTTCCCAACATCTTTCCAGAACCAGAAGCAATGGGAGCTTTGCTCTTTCAATGAAGTTTTTGCCAGTCGCTGCGCCAGTGACCTCCCTGGCGACTTTGTAAACTACAACAAGAAGTATCTTGCTCGAGTTTACCCTAGCCCAATGCGCATTGACTCCAGCAACATGAATCCACAGGATTTCTGGAAGTGTGGTTGCCAGATTGTGGCAATGAACTACCAGACTCCTGGCCTGATGATGGATTTAAACATCGGCTGGTTCCGTCAGAATGGGAACTGTGGCTATGTGCTGCGTCCCGCCATCATGAGGGAGCATGTTTCATATTTTAGTGCCAACACTAAAGATTCAGTGCCTGGTGTTTCTCCACAGCTCTTACACATCAAGATCATCAGTGGACAAAACTTCCCAAAACCCAAAGGCTCAGGTGCCAAAGGAGATGTAGTAGACCCCTATGTGTATGTGGAAATACACGGCATTCCTGCTGATTGTGCCGAACAAAGGACTAAAACGGTCAATCAGAATGGGGACAACCCTCTGTTTGATGAAAGCTTTGAGTTTCAGATAAATCTCCCTGAGCTTGCAATGGTGCGCTTTGTGGTGCTAGATGACGAATATATTGGTGATGAATTCATCGGACAATACACCATCCCCTTTGAGTGTCTCCAGCCAGGTTTTCGCCATGTACCGCTGCAATCTCTGACAGGGGAGGTTTTACAACATACCTTGTTGTTTGTTCATGTGGCCATAACCAATCGAAGAGGAGGCGGCAAACCACACAAAAGGGGACTGTCTGTACGAAAAGGCAAGAAGAGTAGAGAGTATGCCAGCATGAGAGTGCTGTTGATCAAGGCTCTGGATGATGTCTTCAAAACAGTCCTGCTGCCTCTGAGGGAGGCAACAGATCTCAGAGAAAACATGCAGGTAAGAAATGAAAGGAAACTCCATTGAATGCTTATTATATTCAATAGTCTCCTTTGATGTGGCACCAGTGATTTAACAGTATCATTGTGAATTCTTCGTCCATCTTCCAGCATGGGATTGTTTCTTATAGTGAAGGGTAGACTTGTAGACTGAAGAAAATGTAACCCCAAGTCAAGAGTAGATTATAACCAGATCTACTACAAAAACTCTTGAGCATCTAAAAAAGGAACCCACCATGGAAAGAAAAACAAAAAAACACCAAGCTTGACTAAATCAGATGTAATCTATTCCTTATGTCTTAGCCAATAGTAAAAACAAATGTGGGAAGAAAGTTGAGTGACCTTGATGATTTTCCTTTTTGAATTTTAGATTATTTTATGACGTTAAAATTTTAATACAATATCTGCTGATCATGGCCTTCAGCAAGCTGGTGATATGTCTTTAACCCTTTAACTGCCGGACCAAGAAAAAAGAAAAAAAAATATTTTTTTGCATTTTCTTATCAAATGGGCCACAAATAAGCACAAACCATTGTTTTTTTTTTACTGACCACACAGTTTTGTTTTTATGAGCCTCTACCAAATGGTCGAGCTGGCCTTCTATGGTAAAAGTACATTTTCAACAATCATCATATACAGTACAGTATTTGTATGCATCAAACTCAAATAAAACACAAACTCAAATACATTTGTTTCTTTTATGGAAAATGAGCAATATATACAACCAGATATATTCATAAAAGACAAATGTATTTGAGTTTGTGTTTTATTTGAGTTTGATGCATACAAATACNAATTGTGTGTGAACCCTTTATAATCATTTGAATATAGTTAGTCTTGGAATTACAAACAAGACTTACATCTTACACATTCAGCAGACAATGAGCATAAACAACTTCTATTTTAAACTCTTAATAATATTCGACTGTTCTTTAAGTTTTGGTTTGGTTTCCACCAACTCCTCAGGAAACATCTGTCTCTTTAGCTTCTAAATGCTACACTGTGTTCCCGAGCTATTTACTAGTTCGATGCTGGGCAATTAGGGCTCGTAAGGTTTATCCGTTTTTGTTTCTTTTTACCAAAAAAGACCCCATAGAGCTGAGGTAAACTGCAGGGATGGTTGATAATCATCTGTGGGTTTGTCACTATATCGCAACCCCTTTGCTATCAAGTATGTTTGTATAGAAATACTAAAAAGTCAAACTTTAATTGTGGGATGACAATCTTTTTCCAGATTCTGCCTATTTCAATTTGAAATCCATGTTTTTTTTTCCACACAATGTTGTTAAAGCCAAGGTGATGTTTGTTGTATATTAACGATATTGACTTAATTCAAATATTAATTTTCTTATCCAGATCTGAACTATTTCTACGACTAGAATCACTTTCTTTTCCCCTTAAGCTTAAGAAAACACTTAACCACAAGCAGCTGGACTCTACAGGCTGAATTTCATCACAGTGTTTAAACACACACACACACACACACACACACACACACACACACACACACACACACACACACACACACACACACACACACACACACACACACACACACACACACTGTTCGTATTTAGTCTCCTGATTTTAAATGCCCTAGTATGGTTTTGTCACCATTTCCATAGCCCCACCAAAAATATTTTCCACCAGCCGCCACTGAACCAGGACATCAGTTTAACTGAAGCCAACATTGCTAGTGTTATTCCTCGCACTTTGTGACATAGTTTTCTGATTATTTTTGTTGTTATCCGTGGTTATTTCAATCAGTACTAAGAGCAAATATAAGAATAAGCCATAGAGTGGTGCAGGAATGAACCCAGAAATGTGTTAGCATTTTAGCACTTCTGGACTTCTACGTAGCAATGTCAATGTTCTTTTGACTCAATTATTGGTTAAAACCCCAAAATAATGTCTGTGGTTAAAACAAGGTTACGAGAGTTTGACGTTTTGTTCTACGGCATAAAATATGTCGTAGCTTTCATGTGACATTAAAGCAGTAATTGCTAACAAATGAACGTCATCACTACGTACATTAGCCGCCTTTGAAATAGCAGTTTTGACATGAATTCACGTGACAGTGATGTAAGATGTTTATAGTCTAAAGTTAGCTTTTTACTTCTAGCAATTGCATTTATGATTTTATTATTCTAAAAACGATGTTAATATATGGAGATTATCCTGCTGAACAAAATAATGAAGTATCACTTCAAGTCGAGGCAGCCCTAACGATGCTAATTTAGGAGTTGGCCTACAAAAAGATGTCACCACTGCACCACTCTATTGGTGTCGGTAGGTTCGATGAGCAAAGATGGTATCTGTAATGACCCTCTGCTTTCAGAAACTAATAGATTTAACTGGATTACGTGATGTGCTGGGTTGTTAAAAACAATAAGGGTTCATGAACTATAATATATATGCCTATAGTTTTGTGGTAACGTTCACGCCACTAATGACAATTGTGTAGGCATACTGCTGCTGTAAGTTGCTAGCCTATAGACTATATATTATAGTTCATAACAGGTAATGTTAAAGCTATGAACTGCATTGTTGTAGTTTAGCTCCAATATAGGCTATATGTAACATCTAACATTTACAAAAGTCACCTGTAATAGTTACCTTATTTAGACATGATGCCGTTTGCATGGTGGAGAGCAGCAAGGTGATGAAGGGACCTTTGAAGACAGCGCCACTGCAGCGCATGCGCACTTCTTATCTCATAATTATGACTTTCTATCTCATTATTATGACTTTTCATGGGGGATTTTATTTTTTTCAAGTGGTGGAAATGGGCTTCCATGATTTATGTACCCCAATGTTGCTTTGCTTTTTATGTTATGTCGGGCACTGGGGTCTATGTGTATGCAGGACTGCTGTAAGTGACCTGTATTTGTACACTTCCTAAGTGACTTAAGTGCACTTTGTGGTCATGTCACAAAGACAGGCAGCCCTGCTCTGCTGCCAAGACAGAAAGCAAGAAGGGATAGAAAACAATGTTTTTATTAGAGCTGAGTTAAACAGAGTCTCTCTGGAAAAAAGAGCAGTGCAACATTATGCCCCTGAGATCAATCTCTGGAGCAAGCCAGCTCTATGACCAGCCAGCGAGAGGAAATAAAGAGAGTTGAGTGATAGAGGGGGGGGGTCAGGAACAGAAGAAAGGTGGAATATTATTTTAGAAACAAAAATGAACATGTTTTATTTAGAAACCCCCTCATTATTAATCATTCAGACAATTTAGTTTAGACAAACACCTGGTGATATATCAGTTTTGTTATTATTTTAGAAATCCAATAAAAAGACTGATACAATAATTCATTGAGCATACCCTAATATAGCTCAGTTCTCATTGCCAAAGAGCTCCATTGGGATCAAAAAACTATTAAAACCTCATAAATGAGCCACAGTGTTGCACTGGTTTACATGTTCCTTCATTACTGTCAATTTTGGCACTGTGGTTTATTTTGAGTCAATCCCACACACTCTATCCTGCTGCTGAAGATAATAACAAGAGCACCAAACACACGCACTAGCTATTCCTATTAGAAAAGTACAAAGCACGGCTGTTTAAATGAATTACTAAGCCTTTTTAAAAAGTGTCCAAAGCCTGGATAAGGAAATCAGAAAGTACCACACTGTGGTTTGAGTTGTTTTAATAGATTTGTTGAAAACTAGAATCATGCTAGACTCTCAACATGTAATAGCACATAGGAAGGGAAACAGTGTATCTGCCACTGAGGCTTTTAATACTGAAGTCCCACTGTATAGTCATGTGATCTGGTACAATTACATGTTTGTGCTTTCAAATGTTCCTGTAGTTAGTTCATATGATAACCTCTACCATTACATTACTATGACAAAAATAAACATTAAGCCTTTTTTTGGCATTATCACATGTATTCCATCACATTATTGTGTTCTGTAGGGAGAACAGAGTTTCTAAAACCCATGTAGTAAATCACCATGTTCTGCTGAAAGCAGTACTGACTTCATTATTCTGGCAGTTTTGTGTCACTCCGCAGCTGCAGCTCCGGCACTTAGAGCTGTCACACACGCTGTGATTACTTCCCCCATGGGAGAAGAAATTGCCATCTTGGTGGCAGAGACAGAATCACAGAAGTATTTAAAGACCCGGTCTAAAGGTAGGCGGGTGGACTGTGCCCCATCTGCACACTAAAGACCATCTTCTGCAAGTGCTACAGTATGTTTACTTCTATTATTATTTGTATCTCTTCCCACATTTTGCATATTCAAATGGTCATTTGATATAAAAGGTGATGTAAGCTTAGCAGTTGCATTATGCAAATGATGATAACGTTTTAAAGTTTTAATATATCCAAGCTTCATATAAATTATTATATCTGCTTCCTTTCAGACAAAACAAAGACTAACATACGGGCTTCGTTTTCCCTCGGTTCAGTTTTTCAGAGACAGTGCATGCGCAACTCATCTCTATTTACAGGCTGTGCCCTCAAAAATCAGAGCATATTATCTAAGACCACAAGCTGGCATCATGCTGATATCTCTCACTTTTTTTCCTCGGCACACAAATGAGCAGGGATTGAGACCTAGATTCTATTTTTGACTAGGAAGTGAAAGCCTGGTTACTCCCAGTGGTGGGTTTTGACACAGAGCCTGGATTTCTAATTGCACTGTGCCATACATTATTTGCAACTCTTTGGCTCTGTTCCTTGGATCATGCCTCTGTATTCTCATCCCCCCTGCAGCTGTGCACCTTTCTGCTCCGTCTCCTCAGGCACTCTGCTTACGGTCAAGACCTGCAGTTTCACATCAATTAAGCGCTTGTTTTAATTTATTTGATTTTGTTCCCCAAACACTTGTCATTTTCTCCTTTCTTCCCTCTAACTTAATTTCCCTGGCACTCTTTCCATCAGCCCCAATTAACTAGCCCTCTACTCTCAAGTCTGAGTCCAGCAAAGGGGTTACTTTAATATGTTCGCGTCAGCATCATGCACATTATCGGATATTTATCTCTGAGTCCAAAGGGGTGTGCCATAAGAAATAACACAGTTGGGGGCAGATAGCACTTCATCCATGCATTGTTTCCATTACAATGTAACATATATGTGACATTTCTATCAACTCTTTTCACTTTTGTTACACAGATGTGCACATGTTGTAATTAGTAAGGGAGAATTTGTCCCACTGGCAACTTAAGTTTATTATTTATACTGTAAAAACAGGAATACAAAAAAGTAAATGTGTGAGATTGTAAAATACACTGAACACACATGGCAACACGTCACAATAGGCTATAAAACTAAATAGCATCTCTTAGGGTTTACAATTAAAGAACTATATATACACTTTTTTCAATGAGAGGAGTTTTTCAATTAGTTCCACCTTCATTGAATTCAAACATTTGAAGCCCCACTCTGAACTCACACTTGGAGCTTAGGTTCCACATTATGTGCATCAATCTGCAATCTACATCTTGTGTTGCCGAGTGAACTGCACACTGGCCCTGGTATATCAACGGTTCAGTACCAATAAACACTAAACCACGGTTTAATACATATTCTCAGGGCATAATGTTACAGCCAAAAAGATGGAGATACATCTCATTAAATATTGTCTTGTTACTGAATGCAAAATTAATCAAAGGAGTTCACTTGTTGCTCTACTTATGCCACTGCGTTTTTCCAGGGCATATAAGCCTTGTGCTTGAAATAATGATGTGAAGTCTCTAATAATGTGCTGAAAATCAATGTTAAAGAACAGGATGTGTTCAGGAAAATGGTGTTGTCTTGGCATAGCCTCAATTGTAGGTTGCATAACTTGTGCACATTGATTTTATGACTTAACAGAGCACCAACCACGTTACCTAACCATCTCTGTTTTTATTTTATTTAAATATCAACCACAAAAGCTTATTTTTGGGAATAAATCCATTAACAAAACTTCCGCATACTTCTTCCCCCTTATACACTTTAAGAACAATTTTGCCACACAACTACTCACCATATCATAGGTAGTGACAACCTTTTTGAGAACCTCAGGTAGCAGACCTTGGGGCTCCAAGTTGGGGTACTGTTGAGCGAGGTTGAACAACAGAATGGGGCTGTTGTCAGTTCCAGTGAGTCGAGGGGAAAGGGCCAAGATGCACTGCTTCAGGTTAGCCACCGCTGAAAGGCCGCACAGCTCTTTAAAGGACACTATGGCATTCTGCACAAAGAAGAGAAAAATGACTGGCTTGTATGTCTTTATAGTGATTAATGCTGGCATGCCAAGCAACGCATATTTCTTATGACATAACTTTAAGTTAAGGTAAGGAATTCATATTCTGCATTGTTCAAATCTGGTATTGATCTGTGTTAAATGTGTAACCCAAGAGTATTCAGAGGTAGTGGCTCACTCATTACCTGTGAGAACTTTTATTTTGGCACTTGTAAGTTACTCATAAACGCTCAATCCTTTTGGACTGACACCAGTATCACACGGAAGTCCCAACCTTCCTGTGAAAGCACACATTTAAATCCTACATAAACAACCGGAGGGACCAACTGGGACAGCAATGTGTTACAGCCTCAAGGCCAGTGGCTTGTTATCGCACAATGACTGCAATATAAACAGGGCTACTAAAAATAAATAATAATATAATGCCAGAAGAAACACAACATGGGACCAACCACAGAGTGTTGCGATACTCCAGTAGTGCATTTTCAGTACAGGTTATTTCAAACAGACTTCAAATGCTAATTCAAGGCAACAAATATGACACACATGTGACCATGAAAAAGAGAAAATTACACTGTTTTCAGGATCCCTGTGTTGGCAAAGAAAGACAAGAAAAAAATGATTGGGATGATATTAGTTAAGATTGGGAGCTATTAAAAAAACAGAAGGTACTTTATTAAAACCCTTTAACTGCCAACAACACCATTTGGTAGAGTAAATTGTGTGTCTTGATATCTTGTTGAAAAAAAAAAAAAAAAAGTTCAACTCCATCTGATTCAGCCAGCTCTACCCTTTGGTTGACATGTTATGCACAAAACAACCTCTAGATGTCACTGTGGTTCGAACAGAAAGCCCTTCAGCTAGCTTCAACTGAGAAAGTTGGCAATGCTAAAAATCACTGCTGAACAAATCAATCTTTTTGGTCAACTTTTGTAAGGTAACCATGTCATTTTTGACATATTTTAGTGGCAGGGCACTGACTGAACATAATTAGATAACTTGATGCGCAAAACAAGTTTTAACAAGGGTGTAATTATTTTTTTGAAAATATGCTCAACCAATTAGTCGATTTGGCCTTTTATGGTAAACTAGCAATATGACTTCTTCAGAGTTTCAGAGATGTTTTCCAATAAAATANAATTATGAGATAAGAAGTGCGCATGCGCTGCAGTGGCGCTGTCTTCAAAGGTCCCTTCATCACCTTGCTGCTCTCCACCATGCAAACGGCATCATGTCTAAATAAGGTAACTATTACAGGTGACTTTTGTAAATGTTAGATGTTACATGTAGCCTATATTGCAGCTAAACTACAACAATGCAGTTCATAGCTTTGACATTACCTGTTATGAACTATAATATATTGCCTATAGTTTTGTGGTAACGTTCACGGGTTAGAGTTAGGCTAGCAACTCACAGCAGCAGTATGCCTACACTATTGTCATTAGTGGCGTGAACCTTTGAAGACAGCGCCACTGCAGCGCATGCGCACTTCTTATCTCATTATTTCGACTTTTTTACCTCATAATTATGACTTTTTATCTCATAATATCAACTTTTTTATCTCATAATGTCTTTTCATGGGGATTTTAATTTTTTTAAGTGGCGGAAATGGGCTTCCATAATAAATCATGTCTGTTGGATGAAGATAGAAAGATCCGTCAGACTCCCTATATACCTTACAATGATTTACCTCTGACTGTGACACGCTACATATACCTCATTAACCTGGTGAAACACTGCTGTGCTGTTGTGCAGGGCAGGTGCGTTGTTGGCATTTAATATGGAAATGAATTCCCAAATTCTTCGAGTCTTTTCAACAGTCTGCAGGTCAGCAGAGTTTGTGTACTCAATTAAAGCTGGGCATAACGCCACAGGAGCTAAACTTTGCATCTTTCAAAGCTGCAATTTTAACAGATAACACAGCGGTGTCCTGCTTCAAAATGACTCTAGGTTACGTTTACATCTCCTCTTCATATGACCTTGATTATCTGCCTTTTCTATTAAAGGGTTAATTTTTAAATGCCCCTGTAAATGAAGTTCATATCTCCGGAAAACCAGACAAGAGTTGAAAAAATAAGTGACTTTTGAAAACCACCCTAATCGCTTGTGTCTCCGTCCCTCTAATTTTGGTTTTAAAAAATGCAATTCAGCGACCCCGCCCACTGACGTGCCTGTAATAACAGCTTGTTTCCCTGAGCCCTCCCTGGAGAGGAACACCCGGCCACCAGACGGAGACTGCTCCCTGCTGTCTTGTGGGATGCCAGTTTTTTCTGATGTCGAAATAAATGGCAAATCAAAACAATATACTGTATCTTGTCTCCTTTCAGGTGATCCAGACCAGCAAGACTCTGCTGGAGAGTTTTGAGGGGTTGTATGAGAGAATTCTACAAACCCAAAAAGCAGGTAAGAAATGTCTTTAGATGTTGTTCTCCTTTGACATTAGACCACTCCTGAATATTGCCCACTGGCCCCACCATCTCTCTGAAGCCACACCACACAGATCACTCAATGGTATCCGACAGAACTGATTTGGCTTATTTGCATAAGTGTGGAATTACCATTTGAATCGGGTTCAAGAACCTGATCCTGTCACTGCTTCCCTTTGAAAAGCTGCGGTTTGGACAGAGGTGTGTAATTCACACCAATACCAGCGTCTGTGCTGTATTCTAATTACAAGGTTGGTTTAAGGTTCAGAGATGTGTGTGAGGGTTCAGAGATGTGTGTGAGGCGAGCAGATGGCAGTACATCTACTCTTCTCAGTTATAGTGAGGCCCAGAGTGTATGTGTTCATGCAGACCTATATCTAGCCGATTGTAACCAAATGTACTCCATGCATCCGGAGTTAGATTGGCAGCTCATCAGTGGAGGCACTGCTGGATTAAAAGAAAATATGCACACACAGTCTTAAGAAACATTAGCATATGATGCCGTCAAATTACAGATACTTCTGGAGGGCAGTCTTTATTTTTCAAAATGTTTACTATGTAACAGGCTTTGCTGTCTGAACCTGTTAACGAGAAGGATTTCTTTTTTGACATTAATTGAATTTTTAATGCAGCACTGTCTGGTCTTGAATTCCATCTTAGTAGTTTTGAAAGCTAATTTATCCCCGAGTGAGCCGGCTAAGTGAGGGTGGAACAGGGGAGAGACGGACCATCATTACCGCGGCTCTGCTTTATTGGGTTCCAGCCGGATAGATTTATAAAATATTCAAATTCTATTGTCCTGGCACATCAGAGAGGAGGACTGTGTCTTTTAACCAATGCAATGATCAAAGGCTTTGTGCTGTTTTTTCCTTGGTGTTTTCATTTCGACCACCTCCCAGCCTGTAACAATTACCAGCCAGTGGTTTGGGGAAAAGACTCTGTGATGTTGGACTTACTGGCATCAGAAAGATCCCTAAAATCTCTGCTCACATCTGTGCCACAGGGACTTATATTTCAACCATATTCCTTTTGGTTTAGATTTGGTTTTAGCATGGGTTTAAAATGGCTTATGTATGAAATAAGTGCCTTGTACTTTAGTCCTACAATACTCCCCATGTTCATCTTAACAGCCTTTGTCAGCATTTTTCTCATTCTATTTTAACGACAACCTGCTGTCGTGCCAGCAGTTTCAAATCTGCAGTGGGCAAATGTGTTGGCACAACATATACATATTACACATTGTTTGATTTATAAAGCACATGCGCATAGTTATTGTCACCTGTTGTGCTGCCTGTTGCTCATCTTCCATGGGACTAATATGAGTCTCTCTTAAAATAGTATTCAAGCCTTAACCTGTTAAGCCCCAAGCCTCTTTTTCAGGTCTCAGGCTCGAAAATGACATTTCCAGAACAAATGACCATAACTACACTTCTAAAAGGGGAAAATTAATAATCTTTTTTATTAAGTAATGATAAACCTGTGAGTTGGATGTAGAAAAGTCAGAATCAATATAGATGTTTTTTATTTTAAAGAAAATTCAGATTGAACTTAGTAACTTAGTAAAAATGTAAATTATAGTGTCCGTCCAAAAATAATTTTTTACTTATAGTGAAAACCACCCTTGAATGATGGGAAGGTAGACTTAAAGCTTTAGGAATCCAAAGTACAACATATAATAAGTACCCTGTATCAAGATTGATGGAAAACAAGTGACATGTTACCTTTTTAGAGAGGTTTAGAAAAAGAAACTCCACCTCTGGGGTCATTTGGGTGGAAATGGTTTTTTTTGCCGTTTCTCTGGAACCCATTGGTCGATTTTGATGATTGACATCTCTTTTGAACCGTTAGAGCCAATAGAATCAAAGGGGGATTTCCACCTACACACCAACGTTACCATTGAGAAGTGGGGGCTATGCGCATGCAGTTTGCCTAAAGCGAAACCTATCGAAAATCTGAAAACTTAAAGCTAAGTTTATTGCTGATGGATTATCAGAAATCATTTCAAAGTGACACAGACACATTGGATGAACCTATGGATTAACATTCAGCAGCGTTTTTATCGTTTTAATGCCATTGAAGACAACTTTTGATCAGACAACGACAAAGGTAAGACATATTGCCGTGTTTGCTACCTAATGCCACGTGTTGTGATGTCTGTTTTTGTTTCTTATTTTGCGAGTTCTTATCATGTAGTGATGATACGGATACATATTGATTCTGTTTATTCTCACAATGCTAGTCGAGGGGTTGGATTTGCCTTTAAAATAAGTAATAAGGGTTTTATGAGTGAGTTCTGTGCTAACGGCGTTAGCATTTTTTCGCTCAGGGCTAATTCAGTGGCTCAGCGTTAGTCTTGTTTTCTTTTGCTAAAAATGGTTCATATCATCAGTTAGCTGAGTTTCTTCCCGTTACATGGATATGAAACATTCATAGTTTATTAAATATTAAGAAGCCCTCAGACGCTGTTTCCTGCAGATGATGCGTTTTTCCGCCCGGGGGCAGGCGGTTGCGGTTCAACAGGTTAAGGAAAGGTCTGCCAAACATTATGTCGTATTTTTCTGCATCCTTCCTCCTTATCTCCACAAAATGGCATTTCATTGTCAGTAAAGTCCTGTTTGAGATCAAATGACAGTCTTTTAATGAGTTGATGACAACAGGATTTTATGTAACAGTAGTCCTACACAATGAGTCCTAGCCCTGATTGATAAAAAATCTGGTCAAAGGGAATTATTCCTTTTTGTAAAAAAATAGTTACGAAAACTTCCACAGAAGCATTATGGGGTTTTGGTCAAAGCACCATTTAAATACAATTATATAATATCAGGAGGAGAACCGTCAACAACAATTGCAAACTGGGACACAACTGATTAACTTGTTCATTGATATATTTTCCGATCCAACATACACCATTTGTGTGTGTTTGAGTGTGTGCGCTCTTGTTTGTTGGTATTTCAGTGCAATTATGGTTTCCTGTTTGTCTGTTGTGTCGAACTGGGTCAGTGCAAACCCAATTCCCTCTCTACAGTAAGTGGAACATTCAGCAGAAGCAGCTTTTAAAGTTGTGAATAACCCATCTCTTGAGCTCAGATGGGTCGTGTGTTCTCCGACATGAAGGCAGAGTCAGAGATCACAGTCAGGTGTTCGCTGCTTAAAGATGGATGTCACTTCCCACCCCCGACTTTCACTTTAGGTCCCAATTAGTATTCAAGGCAGATGGAGGGCTGCACCTGCTGCAGACTAACAAGATCAGTACAGAAGATGTTCTTAAATGCCAACTGCAAAATAATGGTGTGGCTTTTCAGTGACATTCTGCAGAGAACAAAGCAAAGGGCCAATACTGTGTTAGATATGTTAAAGTCCCCTTCTAAGTGGATTGAACTTTTTTGTTTCATTCTTATTGGTGAAATGCTTTGTGCCACATCGCCTCCTGGATGGTGCTTAAAATTATAGTTAATATTAGAACTGATACTATTTTACAATTAATTTGATTAATAATCTATTGTTTTAGTTTGTTTCCACTTCTCAATGTGAGGGTGTCCTGTCTTTCTGTGACATACGATATGATAGTGATACAAGATAAGAGAGACCAAGGACTTAGAACTTTATTTATACCGAGGGAAATTATTGTGCAGTGGTAGCAGTATAACAAAGAAAAAGCGCAGCTTAAAGCAAAATACAAACAATAAAATATCTATTATAATGTTTGATAACCAAATGTACACAAGGACAGAAATATAAATGGTAAGCATCACAAATATAAACTGGTTAACAAGTAGCAAATCCAAAACTCATAGGGTGTTAAAAGTAAACAGAGGTGATCATAAAAATGTCAACACAAGAAACATTTAACACTCTTTTCAAAAATATAACGGGTTCATGTTAGAAAACCACATAAATGTATAAGAAGTGGCATTTAGATATTTTTGTATCATTAAATAGAGGTCAGTGTACATGGTTGATTTGAAAATGTTCAATGACCATGTCAATAACAAAGACTGTATGGTCAATAACAGAGCATCATTTATTTCACATCATGATCGATTGTGTTACTTTAGTCCATTAGTTGTTATCATTGAATGTCTTTGGGTTTAGCACTATTCATAAAAAAACATTTCATAGACTAACTCAGGTCCTCCTCCTCTGAGCCTCCTCTTTATACTGTAGTTGTTTCATGCTGTGAGTGCTGCCTCTATGTACATCTTGCAGCATTACTTCAGAGATCAGCGTCTGAAATGCTTGCTGAGAATGAGCTTCCCCATTTCCTTCTTTCTTGACTGCCAGACTCCATCAAATGTTGCTAGGCAACGTGTGTGTGTGTGTGTGTGTGTGTGTGTGTGTGTGTGTGTGTGTGTGTGTGTGTGTGTGTGTGTGTGTGTGTGTGTGTGTGTGTGTGTGTGTGTGTGTGATGTGCACCTTCTTCAGCACAGTCATGGTCCATGTGCACAGCAGCAGCCCTTTAGTTACAGAATAGCAGCCTGAGATGGAGAGAGAAATGACATGTTGTTAGGAACACAGGAAATGGACAGAGCACGTGTGATGTCAGGAGATAATGGATGTGTCAGTAGATTTGTATCAGGTGTGTGAGGTTGTATTCACGCAGCTGAGAGGCTCCAAGGCAGCCCAACCCCACGCCTATAATGGCGATTCCACATGAGGGGGGTCGTGTGCACGCCACGTTTCCATGGCAACAGCGCCAACAGGGGCCAGGGCCCACTCCAGCAGATATAAGTAATGTAGGCATTCTTGCTTGGAATTTCCAGCAGTATAAAGTGATGGGCTGCTGTGTCTAGCAGGAACTCCATCTCTCTGGTTTATTTACCTCACAGGCTGTGTTTGCCTGTTGCTGCAGTGTCAGCACTGCACTGTAAAGGCCATATCCACATTAAACATGTCCTTACTCAGACTCAGTCATGCAGATGGGAAGAGAGGAGGTGGGAAAGCTCCTCAGGAAACAAATCCGTCCTCTGTTCCATGCCTTGATGCTAATCCACAGTGAAAGAACGTCATGTCTGTCTGCCTACGCTGCACCGCTCCTCTGCCTTTCTCTGCGTTTCCGGGGCTACTCTTCCCTCTCATCCTGCCTCCCTGCTTCCATCAACTAGGCTTTTTGTTCTCTGCCTTTAATTTATCTTGCCTTTTTGCTTTCTTTCTTCTTCTTTGTTTTTCACCAATTCACTCCTGTCCCTTAAAATCCCATCAACACCTCGCTGGGATGTGCCTACCATCCAATAACATTTCACCCTGGGATATAGAGTTATGATGTTGAAGCAAGGTGTTGCTGACAGAGGTCACACATGCTCACCAAACTGTTCCTGGTTAATAGTAACACTGTCATGAAAATGAATGCTACACTGTTGTTAAAGCAAATAGGAGTCTCGAGAGAAACAGGATGTAAGGCGCTATCAAGTTAGCTATCAAATAACTGGCACTTCACACTTCCTATGCCTTTTTCTAAGGGTTGCTTGACAAGATATTCAAATGTCGATGGCAGGTGCTTGCACAGTTTTATTCCTTCATATCTTGCATCCAACCCTCAGCTTTCCTCTTTAATTGTTCAGAAATGTGCACTTCAGTCAGAGTTAAGATGCACTCAGCAGCTCCTGCGATCCTTTATCACCCTGCAGACGTACAGTAATGAGAGGAGTCCTCCTCCACAGCCAGAGGGTCTCTATTCTGTACTTCCACATACTCTACCCTTCTGCTGCAGCAGCACACTGTGAAATGTTGACAGCAATGCCACTGACTTTAGCTCTAATGTGTTTCCTCACAGTGACAACAGGCCTAGCACCCAGTCAGAGCTCCCAGACTTCAGTCACCTCGCAGCTGCTCTTCTGTTTCACAAACCGCCACAAAAAGTCTGACTCATTCTCATCTGTCTTTTTCTCGCAGCGATGGAATTCCACGAGAACCTCCATGATTTAGCTGTGAAGGAGGGGCTGAAGGGCAGGAAGCTGCACAAGTCGGTGGAGAGCTTCACCTGGAACATCACCGTGCTGAAGGTCAGATTATGGACACTGGTGACACCAACCTTGTGTAGCCTGTTTACTGCTGCTACAGTAGCTGCCATTCTCTTTGAATCCCAATCTATCTCTACATGTGGCATTTCGTCAAAAAGTTCGTTTTAAATGTAAACACAAGTGTGTAATATGAATGTCTAAAGCAGGGGTTCCCAAAGTGGGGGTCGCAGGATGATTACAAAATAAAAATGGAAAATTAAATTAAAAAAATTATTTTAAAAAGATTAATTTTTGTTAGAATTTTTTTTTTTAATTATTCATATCAATATTAACGTTTGCATAGACATTTTCAAGGGCGGACTAGCCATCTGTATAATTTCCCCGCAACGAGGCTCCCCCTTTGACAATCCACTAGCGCAGTGTTTCTCAAACTTTTTCATACCAAGGACCACTTAACCAATAAAAAACACTCATAGACCACCTAGCCGTTAATATACCTGGGCGGCCCGCCCAAGTAAAGTCTGTGTGTGGGAAACCCTGCTATCTTACCAGTTCTTATGCATCTCGCGCATCTCTCTCTCTCTTCTCTATCCAGGCCCGGTTCTACGGGGGTGAGAAATTAATTAAATTAAAAGTGAAAAATATTACATATAAAGACAATAATAATAAGAGTAATAATAATAATAATAAGAAGAAGAAGAATATAGTTAGAAATAAAATAAATTGTAATTGTAGGTTAAATAACATTGTCTGCTGCTATTTATTTGGTCAATTTAAACGGTAAGTAACGTTATTATGTCAGGTGTGCGTGACCTGTGTCGCTGCGCGTTCGTCATCTGCAAGGTGCTTACACAGCAGTCAATGATGGACATCAAGAAAATGGTTAAAACAACCAGCCTTATCGCCAGCAGTAACACTGCATCTACTGCAGGTAATAACAGTTCAGATGATGGGGACATTACGTTACCCGCGGCCACTGTCNACCCTGCTATCTTACCAGTTCTTATGCATCTCGCGCATCTCTCTCTCTCTTCTCTATCCAGGCCCGGTTCTACGGGGGTGCAGGGTGCATTGCACCCTCAGTTGAGTCGTTATGCACCCTCATTTGAAAAATGTAAAGTGAAAAATACAAAATAAATTAAAAGTGAAAAATATTACATATAAAAACAATAATAATAAGAGTAATAATAATAATAATAAGAAGAATATAGTTGAAATAAAATAAATTGTAATTGTGGTTAAATAACATTGGCTGCTGCATTTATTCGGTCAATTTAAACGGTAAGTAACGTTATTATGTCAGGTGCGCGTGACCTGTGTCGCTGCGCGTTCGTCATCTGCAAGGTGCTTACACAGCAGTCAATGATGGACATCAGAAAATGGTTAAAACAACCAGCCCTTATCGCCAGCAGTAACACTGCAT